CAGAAAGAGAAAGCAGCGGAGAATAGGCAGGAGAGACGGAGAGTTACGTTATAATAAATGGAATACTTGGATAAAAGCTCCAGGTTCCATAAATCTTTGTAAAGTATTCTCTCAAAAACCATTTCCTCGGTCATTTCCCTTCATCTCCAGCCCTTGCTCCACGAGTCTCAAACCGATCGATTGGCCTAAAAAAAAATTTAATTTTTATAACACAACATCACCTCACAAGTAAAATGTTTAAGACTTTAAAGAGACAAAACACAGTTGATTTTGAAGGTAGAACACTGTCACAATACGAGAGGAGTCCTCTTTTATGAAGTAGGTAACACAACCCGAAATAACTGCTTGACTAAGGGAAACAATTACCTTTAAAAGTCTGGTAAACCAACAGTAAACCTAAAAAACTGAAAAGCCGCTTTCATGAGTGAAAGACAAATCTAGCAAAACTTTTAAATGTCGAAATGTTAGGAAATGTTTCGAACCTTAGTAAGCGCTTAGAAAGCACATTTTTCAAAATGAACATAAAGACGGATAGAAAATATTTTAAGCAAAACCATAATATAATATAATTGTTAGTACACCGACTATATAAACAAATCGTGATAATTGATGAATGTATACATGTTAAGTGGTCCCTTTTCACTTCACATGTCGTCTTGTGCTCTTCACTTTGGTGGCATTCTGCTAGTTCAATGAATGGGATGATAATTTATAAATACCGATGAACAAAAATCAATCAACAAAAAGTCGAATAACTAGATATGAAGGTCACAGTTAGTAGTTAATGATAACAGCCGAAGATTGTGATGTGTACTATATATACGTAGAGAATGATGACAACGAGGAATTATCAAGGTATCGAATCTTTGATCTTAAACGTTGATAACTGTAACTATACAATGATAATGATATTGAAAGTTTCAAATTAATTGGCATCGATTAGTTATTTAAGTTAAAGAGGTTTCAAGATTTAGCAAATAATGACTGGATGAAGGGAAGGTCGAATAATGACAAACCTAAGAATAAAAGGATGGGTGGCGTAATGGAGGACAAACTGAGGAGGGGTAGAGATTTCAAAAAAGTCGTTTGGGTAGGGATAGGGTTTTAGTGTTAGGGTTAAAGATTTAGTGATTGGGTTTTAGGATTATGGATTTAGTGATAGGGTTTTAGGGTTAAGGATTTAGGGATTAAGGGATTTAGAGGGTTAGGGATTAAGGGATTTAGAGGGTTAGGGATTTAGAGGGTTAGGGATTAAGGGATTAAAGGGATTAAGGGATTTAGAGGGTTTGGGATTAAAGGGATTAAAGGGATTAAGGGATTTAAAAGGTTAGGGATTAAGGGATTTAGAGTGTTAGGGATTAAGGGATTTAGAGGGTTA